ATGCTGCATTAAAAAACAAGGAACTCATGCAATACTATTCAAAGTGGTGACCCTGGAGGACATTATGCTGAGTGAAAGATCTCAGTCACAAAAGGAAAAATATTACAGGATTTTAAGAAAAATAAACTTTTCAAAGTGTTCATGAAACCTTTTGTTAAAATTTGGTTATTCTTTGGATGAAATCGCAGCTGGATCATTTCTAAACATTTACTGGACTTTAATATATCTTTTTATTATTATATCACCTATAAAGCAAAGTGATGTATTATAGATTTGAGAACATATCTTGAAACTTTAAAAAATTAACCCAATCCTAAAAAAACCCACCCAAGCAACCAAAAAACCCTTAAATTAACTAATTGCCTTTCCCATAATTTTAAATAAAATCTGAATGGTAATAAATTTACCTCTTTTTGAAAATATTTTATTTTAGAATTATGTTCAGCAATGTGACTAGCTATTTGTTCAAGTTTCAACTTAATACTAAGTGCATCTTTCTGAAGAGCATGCTCATTATCTTGAATTATTTTTAGTTCTTGAAGTAGACACCGATGTTCTTTCTGAATCTCTGGTAAGGTCTCCTAAAAAAAAAAAAATTAAGAATTGGTAGAGATACTATCTTTCCAAAGAAAAAAATCAGTTGCTGTTATAAGTAGACCAAAGTGTAATTGTGCTCAATAACTTTTTAGAAGTAACCAGCCAAACCTTTATTCCAAAGGTAGATCTGAACTTCAAGTGTACAAATCAGTTGTTATGTCCCCTGACTCTTCTCAGAGGAGCTATTTTTTTCATATTACAAAGAAAAAAGGAGCTAACAATATTTTTTCTCATTTAAATGACAAAACACATTACCTTTTCAGTTTACCAGGAACAAACACACATCTTTCTTACTCAAATTTACTTTATGGACATATAAGATCTTAAGTGACAATGTGTAAACAGAGCACAGTTTACATTTTCCAAATACACGCTATTTATTTTTTTTTGAAAGGGCCAGGCAGGGCCCTTCGACTTTGTCCTTTTTGCCTCCCCCCGTGGAGAACGTCTCACCTCCGCAGCATTGGTGTTCTGTACCACCTCTGCGGCTTTGTCCTCAACACGCTGCAGTTCTGCTGTGAAGTCATCTACTTCCTTCTGGGTATCTTTTAATTCTTTCTCTGTTCGAGAGACAGAATCCTGTGCCTTTTTAAGGTTTCTAAATAAGCAAAGCGAGACATTAAAAATGTGGCAATGTGATTTATTTTGTGAACTTATTTAGCTTTTTCTTAGTTTTTGCTGTTTTGTTTTTAAAGGTCTATTAAATCATCCTTAAATCAGATTTAGTTTATACAAAATGTGGGATGTTTGTAGAGTAAATACTCAGTATAAATTTTATTTTACACAATACTGATGGAGCAGCAGTCCATATTAGCAACTGGGAAAATCTGTTGCCAAGGACTTCTTAAAGTGCAAAGACATCATTTACAAGACTAAGAAATGCTAAGTAATTTTTAATTACCTCATATGCATGCTAAGGCTGGAGAATGAGTCAGACAGACCAAAAAAACTGATACCTTTGAATTACTGACAATATAATACACTTGCTTTAACTAGAACTACTTATTTCTTATATGGAGGTGGGAAGGGAAAGTAAAGAGTGGTTCGTATACTCTACCTGTCTGCTGTCTTGATTGCCACTTGGGCTTTAGTAATAGCAGAAGCACATTCATCTAATTGCTTATTTATTTTATCAAGTTTGTCTTGCTGGGCCTTGAGCTTATGGTTATTAATTTCTATAATGGTATTGTGCAACCTTTTAACTTCGGCTTCTATTTTACCAGCTCTCTCAGCCACGCTGTCATATTCTGAAATTAGAAAATAAACAATTTAATTTGTGTTTCTATGTTAAAAATGAGCATCTTTTGTTACATGTAATTTTTTTACGCAATATGCTTGCAAGCCAAGAAATTCTAGATCCTTTGGGGAACGTTATCATTGTAAAAGAATACACAATCCTATATGCATGCATTTAACCACAAAAATCTTGTTAACGTAAGGTTAAATACTTAGGCTCTTTCCAAAGATCTTTTAAAACTTTTTTTTAAGACTGTAAACTTATTCTTGCTTATTCTTGTTGAAAAATGGTTCTTTTTTTCTGTTAACGTAACTTAGTTGTTTTCTAGATAGTGGGAAAGGGAAGCTATTTCTGGGTCCCAGAATACAAACCTTTTCGTAGGCAGAGTTCAAGTATTTTTTTTTTGCACTAAAGGGTAATTACTGAAAAGCTGATCATACAGATATTGACACCTGTCCTGAACACCAATGTCACCTTGAATACTATCTACTAGACAGATTTTATTAGGCTGCCTGGTTCCCATGTGGTAGGCACACTTGTGCTGGAAAAGTGGCTTGTTTTTCTCTTTGCAAGCTGTTATGTGGCAGGCTACCGCCTTTATGATTTATAAAGCAAACCCTATGGAGCAGTTCTACTCTGTCTTACATACATAATTGCTAGAAATTGAAATGAATTCAATGAAAATGCTTTTGACTTGTTGGATGATCTAGCAAGTAGGTGAAAAGGGGTAAGTACCACAACAAGATAAACAACTGAGAAATGGGCACAGGATATGAACAGACACTTCACCACAGAAGACATTCAGATGGCCAACAAGCACATGAAGAAATGTTCAAAATCCCTAGCTCTACGCGAGAAACAAATCAAAACTATGAGATATCATCGCACCCCAGTCAGAATTGCAATATTTAACAGAACAGAAAGCAACAAATGCTTGCGAGGTTGCAGAGAAAGTAGAACCCTTATTCACTGTTGGTGGAAGTGTAAAATGGTGCAACCACTGTGGAAGGTGGTGTGGTGCTTTCTCCAAAAGTTGTAAATAGAAATACTATTTGACCCAGGAATTCCACTACTGGGAATATACCCCAAAGAGACCATAAGTGCCACTCAATGTTTATCACAACTTTGTTCATGATAGCAAAGAGTTGGAAACAGCCCAAGTGCCCATTAACAAATGAAGGAACTCATGCAATAATATTATTCAAAATGGGTGACCCTGGAGGACATTATGTTGAGTGAAATATCTCAGTCACAAAGGGACAAATACTGCATAGTGTCATTGTAAAATGGGACTGACATCGGAGTTGGGGGCAGACTGAGAAAGATGGGATAAATAATGTATACTGCACTGAAACAGATGAGGGAGAAAACTGTTTAAAAGGGGTATGTGATTAGGTATTTTTGTCATGACGGGAGTCCAGAATGAAGACTGCATAGTAGAGTGGAGGGGGGCGGGGGGCGGAGGAGCACGGGGAGGGACTGTGAAAGAATTTTACTTTTCAAAGAGAAGAGTGTACAGGGGGAGGAGTGGGCAGAGAGAAAAGTGCAACAATGAATGAATGGAAATCCAAAGTGCCTATAAATTTTCATTAAAATTAATTAAAATGATTAAAATAAAAATTTTTTAAAAAGGGTTTTAAAAATGGGATTTCTTGCTCAAAAGGGTTATTTTATAGCACTTTGTGACCAATTTTCAAATGCCTTTAATATTTGTCTATAAAAAATAGTATAGAAGTTTGAATTCACCAGTGGATTCTTTATAAAACCGAGCCAAAAATCTACTTTTGACACAATATAACCACTGAATACTTTGCAGTTTTACAGTGAAAGATGTGGGAAGATGCTGTGTCAAAAGTGACTCAATGGCAGCTGGTTTGCTTTCTTGTTCTGTACTGGTAATAAGGACTACTAACAAAGTTATTTAAAAAAAATTTTTTTTCTATTTTGTGTGTGTACTGTCAAATCAGATCTGATGGGTACAGGAGGAGATTGTCCCCTTCCTTCTCCAGCAGAACATCTGGTGGATCAAACCACGCACTTCTGGGATTGCAGTGCTGCTTCTTGCCACTAGGCCACCAGAGCTCCCGTCAAAGTTTTATTTTATTATTTTTGTGTGTGTGTGTGTGTGTGTGCATGTACCATCAAATCAGATCTGACTGGTACAGGAGGAGATTGCCCCTCCTTCCCCGGAAGAGCATCTGGTGGATTCGAACCGTGCACCTCTGGGACTGTAGTTGCAGCTTCTTGCCACTAGGCCACCAGAGCTCCCTTCAAAGTTTTATTTTTAAACTAAAGATACAATATACATTTATGAGATGTCCCCCAACCTGTGAAACTATGCTCCTGCAGATAAATTTTTCTTGGTTTTGCAACTGATCATTTGGTATTATCAAAGCAATATTTTAGGAGTGTATGGTAAAAGTAAGGCTGTTACTTCAAAAGCTCCACTTCTCTGGTGATTTGAATCCATCAGTGGTTCTGAGGGTGAAAGGTGGACATGTCTGATGCCAACTACAGTCTTGGAAAAGGACTGGACGGCATCAAGTATGTTAGGACTCAACGGCAATGAGGTTGTTTTGGTACTGTATTTATAAAACCACTCTATGATGGCTACTGCCACCAGTCATTATAATGGCCCTCCCATGTGCCAGATCCTTACTTTTCCAGTTATTCTCATCTCCTTGAGCATTTCTATCTCAAGAATTTTCTACTCTTCCTATCCATTTGGTTAGTACTCTTATCAGTATGTGTTTCTCTCTTCTTCACTATTATCCATCTCCAAGGTCTCTTTGACCACTGTGTCTGATCACCTCTCTTCACTCCACCATGTCCTTTTATCCTGGTTTTATAACTTAGGAGTTCTGGTGGGACAGTCAGTAGGAAGCAGCACTTCTCTGGCACTTGGACTCCAAGTCACTCCAATGGAAAAACATGGACTGACTCGGGCAACCTCCTGTTGTACAGAATTTACAGCTTCTGAAAACCCATGAAAGGGTCAGCAATGAGTCTGTTCCTACTCAATAGCTAGCAGATTTAAAAAAAAAAACAAATTAGCAGCATCTGATATAACCTGTAGTATATTTAGCACTTTCCCTCCTTCAATATGTGTGATATGAAAAAGAGGTTTTCCTCTGTTCATCACCCTATCAATAGTGCATAAAACAGAGCTTGGGCAACAAACAATAAAATTCTCACTGTCATTCAACTCTGATTTTTGCTAGGCTCTGTACTGTGCTCCTAGAGCTTTTCTTGCTTTAACCTTTACATAGGCAGAATGACAGAATAAGGAAAAAAGAAGAAATAAAAATAACAGCTGACTGACACAGAAAAATGTCAGGAAGTATCATATAAGCAGGAGACAAAGGTAATGAAGTCAGAAGGGGAAGCTGCATTGAAGCCATTGGCACAAAAAGAAGGCCACAGGAATTGATGGGATACAAATTGACTTGTTTCAATTAACAGATGCAGAAGATCAAAAAATATACAGCCTTCAACATTGATGCATCAAGAAAACATTCTTATCATAGGACGATAAACACTATCATGATAGATGAGAAAAGATTGAAACCTACAACAACTTCATCTTATTGAAGCCACGATCAACACCCTTGGTACCAGCAGTTAGGAAATCAGAAGATATATTGCACTACAAAAATCTGCAATTAGGGACCGCACTAAATTACTGATGCGTAATGATGTCAGTTTGAGGACTAAGGTGTGTCTGATTCAGACCATGGTGTTTCTGATCACTTGCTATGCATCTAAGAGCTGGAAAATGAATGACAGAAGAAGAGATGAGATGACAGAAGAACTGAAGCCTCTGAGCTGTGGTGTTGGAAAAGAGTGCTGTACATCCCAGGGAAAGCCAAAAGAACAAATAAATATGTCTTGGAGAAAGTCCACCCATCATGCTTTTGGAGGTAAAGATGATAAAGCCTTGCTTTCACATACTCTGGGCACATTACTAGGAGGGGCAATTTCTCAGAGAGGGACATGATGCTTGGAAAGGCAGAGGGATGGTGAAAGGACAGGAAGACCCTCAACCAGGTAGACTGACAGAATGATTGCTGCAATGGGCTGTAGTGTGTCCGAAAGTGTGAGGATGGCACAGGGTCACTATGGGCTATATGTGACTCAACAGTACCTAATGGACAACAACAAGTCAACCAAAAAATTAGTCCTAGCAAAACTGTCAACATTTCCTAAAAGACCATTTCAAACTATCCAAAACAAAGAAATAGCCACCTCCTTCCAATTTAAAGGACTGTTAGATAAACAATTAATGCCCAAACACAGGAGATGTTTGATTGTCTATATCTTTTAATATCTTTATAGTTTGGAGGGAGACGACCTAATTTTTGAATTATTTGGTTAACTGCTCCAACTCCAATTATTTCTTTGGGATTGTGGTTGTTAGGTGCCATCAAGTCAGTATACTCCACCTTGCCAAGAATGATGCATTTTTTGGTTCAACATAAGGAAAACAATCAATGTAATTCATCATATTAATAAAGCAAAGAAAAAGAACCACATGATCCTATCAATTGATGCAGAAAAGGCCTTTGACAAAACCCAACACCCTTTCCGGATGAAAACACTCAACAAAACAGGATTAGAGGGGAATTTCTTCAACATAGTAAAAAGTATTCTTAGCGAAAGCAATAAGACAAGAGAAGGAAATAAGAGGTATCCAAATTGGCAAAGAGGAGGTAAAATTATCTCTCTATGCAGATGATAAGATAGTATACTTAGAAAACCCTAAAGACTCAGCAAGAAAACTACTGGACGTAGTTGACCAATTCAGGAAAGTAGCAGGATACAAGATCAACATAC